TGGCGACTCCCCACATGGAGACCATCTCTTGTCTCAACTGGATGTAGGTCCAATGCCCAGACATTACAGGTGTGTATGCTGCTTCTACCCACTTTGCTGCAGAGCCTTTGAAGAACGAAAGCATGCAGTTGCTTTTCTGTTCATTGGTGGCAGTGGGATATCCCATGAAATAGATGTCACATTGGATAAGGAATTGATCAATATCAATGGAGTTCTTGTCTCCCATTGTGGGTACAACAAGTGTAGCAGCAAGAAATTGATCTACTACAAAGTTGGATCTTTGCTACCTGCTGCCTCACTTGAGAACAAGTATGTTCGACCCTAAAGGGGATTGCTACTGGGGAGTGCTAGTCTCTGCCTAAACGACCCTAATCAACCCTACCGCAGGTAGGATGAGGATCCGCAAAAATGCAGAACAAGCAGAACAAGCAGAACTCAAGGGGAATGAAACGGAATGAAGCATAACTCAAACAGATACAATGTGGAATGTACAGATTCGTTGGAACTTGCAGATTGAGTCGACGGAAGTATATCACAAGGTTAGATTGATAGTGGGCATAAGTCAAAGCAGTCCTCTAGTAAGGTGAAGGAAAAGTCGGAGAAAAGTTGGAAGGTAAAAGATGAGATTCAATAAAAAACATCCAAGCCCTAAGTACCACTACTTAAAGGGAAGATTATTTTCAAGGAACACTGAGGTACAGGTAGTAAATTCTCAGGAAGCAGAAGTGAAGGCAGGCAGTGCACATGGGCACAATACTTCGCAAGAGGGGTCCATGCCATAAGGGCATGTGTCAATGTGATCCAGATAATGTTAGGAGCAACAGGAAGAGAGATACAGTGTACCAATGGACCTGGAAGGATGGGGACAGGACATGCAAAGGTTGTCTGATGATGCACAGGAATATCGGATAGTGCAGGTATGTTCCAAAGGAGGCACAGGAATGCGGAACACATCGGACGATGCGCAGGAAACGCAGAACGCACGCAATATGCAGAACTGATGTGAGACAATGCAGAAAGGACAGGGTTTTATGCCTACAGTGGGAGCATTCCCCACACTGTGAACTTGGTGGGTTTAGCCATTTTGAGATCCGAGCTCAAACTCCCAGAGGTGATGGCTGAGGTCAACATCGTAGATGAGGCTTGCAAAGCCATGGTTATGGTCTCTAGGTCCGCAACTTTGCTCATGAGATTTGTGTTCTCATCGTTCACTGCCACTAGGTTGTCTTGCAACTCGTCAATCAACCTCTGCATCCAGTCGAACTTCAACTTGTTGTAGTCTCTTTCTGCTTCTACGACAGTGTGGATTGTGGCCGAAATGTCCTGGTGGGTGATGATAGTTGTTCCGGGCCTGGAGATGGTGTGCAGTACCCAACATGTGCCATCCTAGGGGCACAGGCGATTGAATCTGGGCTCTGTCTATTGGCATGGAGGGCTGGATCTGGGTTTCCTCCCCAATATCAGACATGAAGGAATGGGCAGTTGTTTTTGCAACAGGTAGAGTTGTTGTGTGTTTCTAGAGCTCTGCCTCTAACAAGATGCGATCTGGATATCAGCACAATGATGACAAAGGTGCGAATACAGTGCATGTAGCGGTTTGTCAACCTAAGTAGAACTTGAGAGGAGTTCATGGTGAACTTTGGGTCTGCTTAGTACCCACAAGCTCCTATTGTAATGTAACTAGACTGTGAGAGGACAGTCATGAGTGCCATTCTTTATAGTATGAAAGAAAATATGTAGTGTTCAGTTGGCAGGGTTTTGGGCCAAACTGAAGACGTGTGAGAATATGACCTAAGTGTCACTATCCCTTATATACTGGCAGCTCGCTGTAAGGCAAGGGCCTGGTCTACTTCTACTAAAGGTATAGGTGAAAAGATTGAGATACTACACATCTGGGAAGATGATTATAAAATGTAATCCACAAGGTAAATCTCAGCAGAATAGCACAGTGAAGTTTGTCAAAGACAAAGTGTCCAAGACAAAGTTCGAGTCAGAGTGGTAAGAAGACTTAACCTAATGTTATGACCAGTGTTCACCAAATGGTCAAGGCAAGAACATAACCACTAGGACTCGGTCACAGTTGATGATAAAAGCAAGGATAGGATTGAGTGTGAACGTCTAAGCCTACTACAAGTGTAGAGAACTAAAAGGTTAAGTCTAAGGAGTATTTATGCTAACCAACCTACTCATATACATAACATTGAATCTAAGATATCTGAGTATGAAACAAATCAGCCAATGAGAACAGAGTTGTACAATGACTGCAGATGACATAGTATGACGTTGTGATATGTAAGCGATGAGATCATAGACGGAGATTAAATAATAGGAAGAGAGATCATTCTAGCCCATGAAGTGGGGGATCCAATCAGAGATACAACGGGTGATATGTGAAGAGGTGAAACTGTGACAGGAAGCAAAGTCATGTGACTGGTTTGGGAACAAGAAGTAACCAGAGGAAAACTGAGAAACGAAAAATGGTTTGTATTGGGAATTCATGACAACTTACCATGGATGACATGACAATTCAATTAGCATTCCACGCTCTGGTGAATGAGGCAGGGTTAGAACAAGATGAGGATGAAGAAGCTGCACTGGCAATCACCACCACTGTCCTGGTTGGAGTTGAGCTAGCATTCCAAGATCGTATCAATGAATGAAAGCCATGACAGCTATACCTTTGCCATCCACAACTCCTTCCCAACCCATGAAAGGACACCCCATGGCAGGCCCTATATGCTACCCAAAACAACTGAGCATTCATCACAATGATGGGCTTTGATGTTGAGACATTTGCCTCCATCCTCACTTCGAGCTTTGCAGAGCAGTGGTACAACACACCAATTCCCTGTGACTATGTCAGTACCCATGCTAATCCTCGTGTTGAGTGCCAATGTCTTGATGCCAGAGGGGCCCTGGGCCTTGTCTTGCACTACCTAAACCAGAAGCTACAGCTTGAGGCCAGAGGGCCTTTACCATGCAGTGCTGAACAATTCTGAGTGGCTGACAGCACCAAGATATGAAATTGCTTGGCTTATGTCAGTGGATATTGCAGGTGTGAGTAGTCCTAAAATGGCAATTGTGATTTATTCTGCATCACTAAAATCTGTAAGGGGGGGTACCCCCCCCTACAGATTTAAGGTTTATTTGAAGGTAGAAAGCCTGGTTGAATTTCAAACAATGTCCAGCTTCGCAGCACACCTTCCTAGAGCATGCAATTATAATCTATTCTACTTTATCCTGGATTATTTGAGCCTGCGGGAAGTCACCCAGTAGCTGTAAAGAAACAGCAGACTATTTAGTGTTTATCGTGGTGAAATGAAATATGATAACAAGTCAGAACATTGACCCACCACACACTGAGTCACGTAGAACCACAAAAATCCAGAGGGAGCCATGCAGATCCAGGTGTAGACCGGTTTTGGTTCATTTTTGCAGGATGCATGTTGTATGAACATGGCTACAAATAAGAACAGCAGCAATAGGTAATGCTATCTAGGAAGTTCGACCCATTACTTGGACAGCACATGAAACAACCTCTGCTTTACTTACTTTGCATATCTTCCAGTGCCATTATCCCTCTTTCTTCGGCCAGCCATGCCCTCAGAAAAACAATTCTACTGCGACCGCAATAGGAAATGTGGAGGAATCCCCACGAGGTCACCCGAGGCATCTTCAAAAAGCATGAAGATTGTCGCACTGAAATGGCTACAAATGCTGCACCAGGATCATCACACCATCTACTGGCCACAGTGAGGGAAGTTCGCCAGCAGCTGACGCAGCCTGGTGAGCATTCTCACAGCTCATTCTGCTTATCGGAGGCTCGCAAATGTGGTTCGCAGAGACTCCTCAAGTACACATGTTCATACTGTTGCTCAGGCCCCAGTGTCATTTTGATGCAAGAATTCGTTGCAGTTGTAGGGATGCAGTGATGCATTAGTGACGCATCAGTAATGCACTCTGATGCACTAGCATCAGCAATGCATCAAACTGAAAATCGGGAATCGTCCCATGGTCGTACATGAATCAACAATACCGCCAGGTACTGGTCCACATCCTGCCGCCAGCTGCTCGCTGTTATACACTGCGCACGAATCCCTCTTGCAGCCCTACAGCTGCACAATGCCCCCGGGGTCATATGTGAATCAACAATACCGCCAGGTACAGGTCCACATCCTGCCACCACCTGGTCACCGCTATACACTGCGCACGAACCATCCCGCCGCCAGCTGCTCGCCGTTATATACTGCACGCAAATCCGTATTGCAGCCCTGCAGCTGCACAATGCCCCCAGGGTCGTGTATGAATCAACAATACCGCCAGGTACAGGTCCACATCCCGCCACCACCTGGTCACCTCTATACACTGCTCACGAATCATCCCGCCACCGACTACTCGCCGCTATGCGGTGTGCACGAATCCCTCTTACAGCCCTGCAGCTGTACACACCTGCCCGCTGTACTACCCTGCGCATATATCCCTCTTGCAGCCCCGCTTGCCACTACACCTTTGCCAATATACCCTTTCTCGACTTCACCTTCGTATGCGAGCCAGACATCTCTGTGTATGGTCGCTCTCAGGTGTGGATCCACACTCCTTGGAAACCTTTGGATGGGCTTGGGTGGGCTAGAGACACCCAGTGGCCCATATCCATATCAATTGCAAATTCAGAATCAAAATGAGCGTCGAGGCACATTGAAGTTTCCCTGGCACACCAACTGGATCCAACATATGTGATTTATGTACTAGTTTGCAGCCTCAAACTTCAGGGATCACTTGTAGTATGTTTGCCATGTATCTCATAGTTCAACATAGTATTCTACCTCCAGTGAATCTTGCAAGCACTCCATATACTTGGGGATTAAATGACAACACAACTATATCCATTGATCACCCACACAGAGACTATATGTACTACTTAGCGACAAATATTACTATGAACGAGAATGAAATGATTAAGTAGAGAAGCAAATTTTCGATCATGACATGAAGACATAGGCTCACGCCTTCGTTCGCTTTTTCCTGTGTCCGTTAGCATTGAGCAAGTGAGGAAGATATCGAAGACGTACTTTGCAGAAATCACACCCTCCATGGTTAAGTTAGCGGGATGCTTCATTGCCCTAGCATCCTCTGAAACAGATTGAGTTTCCTTACCAATGCTAACAAATGTCAGACCATCTGACCCAATGGCGTCGGCAATATCATTCCACTTGGATTTGATTGGAATTCGTTTTGAGGCACGTTGAGCTACAGGATTGCCTTCATCCACAGCGGTGTGCGATGTCTCCGTTAATTTGGCGACAGGTCTTGCTTTGGGTTTGGGTTTGGGTTTGGGTTTGGCAGTGTTCATGGGTGCGATGATGGGGGTGGACTCCATGGCGGGATTGTGTTTGACTTTGGTAGTGGGCTTTGACTTGAATTTGCGCTTTGACTTAGCAAGACCAGCACCAGCGTGAGTGTCAGCAAGATCCTGTATGCCCTCGGTCGGAGAAGGAGGATTTGCTGCTGGAAGAATGGGCAGCTGTTGAGTGAACTGAGGAAGGGTGTCATCCTGCTCAGTTGGCGAAGGAGGATTTGCCGCTGGAAGAATGGGCAACTGTTGAGTGAACTGAGGAAGGGCGTCATCCTGCTCAGTTGTGGCAGTGCTGCGCTCGGCAGATATTGGAGAGCTCAAGAAGGAGGGCAGGCTATGCATCTCCCACCCCTGTGAATCAGAATTGGCACCATTCCACGTGTGCGTGTCATATTGTGTGTCAAATGAGGGCGCTGATGAGCTGAATGCGGGGGAAAATAAGTTCTGCGTGGTGTTGTCGCTACCAAAATAACCCAGTGCCATAAGATCAGCATGGGAAAAAGACAACCCAAGCGCCTCGACGGTACCAGGCACACTGGATTGCAGCGTGCTAAACGAATTGGGAGGCATGGTGGCAATGTTGTCCCATGCGTGTTCGAGCAATGCATCAGGCTGGGCCTGTTTGAATGATGCATCAGGCTGGGCCTGTTTGAACAGTGCATCAGGCTGGGCCTGTACGAATGATGCATCACATTGTGCCTGTGTCTGCAAAGTGTTAGATTAAATAGGGAGAATAATGAAAAGTACTTACCTCAGAGTAGAGTGCGGATTGATTAAGTTCACTGAGTGGTGATGCATCACTGATTCCGGTCGAGGAACTTGCGAAGCCTGTTATTGATGCATCAGTTTGCATCAGGTGGCTGCGAAATGATATAAAGACCTACCTAGATTATCCCAGTCAATGGAATCACCATGTTGTCCTTCGTCGTTCTCTTCACCATCCTCGGATTCTTTGCCACTGTTGCATCCTTCGAGCTCCTCAGTCTGATCGCCGTCTTCGACATCTGGCAGCAGTGGGTTACACTTGTTCAGAGCTGATGGTTGAGTCTTATGGTGAGCCTATAGTGACTTGGACAACAAGGATTAGCTTATGGAATATCAACTCAGCGTATTCCTGGTATGCGGCAAGGAAAGTGTTGTCCTTGTCAGGGCATAACTGAGAAAAGTCGTTCCCAGCAGGAGTTTCTGATGGATGGCACCTTAGTAAGGTGAGCTTGGTAGTCAGATTTACGGTTTGGTGCACTTACGATAAAGTTACGATATTCCAATTCTGCCTCGGGTCTGGTCCAGCGCACATGAAGGAGACTATAAATCGAGTCTTTTTCTTGATGAGGCATGCAAAGCGCTGGCATATGATTGGTAAATTGTCGATACCTCTATAGGCCGTGTAAGTAACATCATAATCATAATCATTAACTAGTACTTACTTCACAATGGCATCAGCGTCGGTTTCGTCGTCATCGTCGTCATCGTCGGCTTTATCGTGTAGCATGTCCTTCTTTACCTTTTTCTGCTTATTGTACTTCTCTCTCACCTCCTTCTTCACCTCGTCTGACTCATCTTCCAGGAGCTCTTTGCAAAACTTTCGGCCCAATACCATGCGGCGACCAGCTGTAGCTACATTACCTGCCTCTTGTTCAGCCGCTACTAGAGGTTTGATCCATTCATCGTAGACCATATCCATGTAGATTTCTTCGACAGATTTTGCACGCGACTTCGGCAGCAGTGCGCTTTCAAATACGGAAATTTCCTTCTTGAGGCCACGATTTTTCTTGGACGTGTTTGTCCACCAACGGAACCAGGTCTGCAATCGCTACCAGGGTTTTGGTTAGCAGTCAAAAGTTGTCAAAACATTCAACAACTCACTACTTTACACGTTTTTTCGGCAGCAAGTTCTTCAGCTTGTTGCTCTTCTGTTAGTGGTATTTCGATGGGGATATCGGGGAAGAGGGCGGCTCGCTCAGGCCAACTTTTAAACCAATAAAGATGAGTCTTGGCCCAGAAGTGCGCATAGTCCTTGTCCTCGCCGTGTAGTGCAATATACTCCAGCAACTGTTCATGGAGCCATTTGTATTGTTCCTTAGTAGTCCACTGAGCTGCTGGCATCTGTCATAGGATTTTAAGTCATATACCATGTTAAGAGTGTCGCTATCATACCTTTGTTTTTCTTTGTGCAATGATAGACAAGTGTGTCCCTCTACCAATGTCTATGCCCGTCCTTATATCATTCCACTGGCATCTGATCAGGGCTCGTTAAAAATCAATATCGGCGAATGAAAAAGGAGGCTAATTTAGCTGGCAATGACTTACTACCGGATCCGATTGCAGGACAGTCAAAACAAAAACGGTGGTACCGGTACCAGTCTGTTCTGGCGCCAGTCAGTGTCTCTGGGTGGATCAGGTAATGAGGGTACCGAACTGAGTTTAGCTAGCAAAGACTTACTACTGGGTCCGATCACAGGAAAATCAAAACGCAAATGGTGGTGTCAGTGCCAGTTTGTGTGTCTAGGGCCAGTCTGTGTGTCTGGTGGATCGGGCAATCGTTCATTACAAACTGAATCAAAGTGAAGTGCGATAAGGAGCGAGTTGAGCGAGTTGATGAACATTGATCTGGTTTGATCAAGGTGAGCTCAGATGATGACATGCATGAAAGAGTGACTTCACCTGTGCGCGACATGTTGATCAGGGCATACGCTGAAAGGAAATGCATTCTGACTGGCTCTAAGCGAAGTGAAATAAGGAGCATGACACCGACCTTGTTCGATAAAAGTGAGCTCAGATGGATAGTGTGCACAGAAGAGTGGCTTTACCTTTACCTTTTGTTGACTGGGGCGTACACTGAAAGGAAATGGTCATCCAAAGAAGGAATGCGGAATGATGGTACTTACTGCCAACCAATACCAGAAAAGAGTGTTAAATCCCGCAGGTGATCTTGGTTGCGGGTGAGCTTATAGTACACTTACATAGAGCATCACAAATAAGTACAGAATCTTGCATCGGGCAAGAGACTCACTTGGATATTGAACATCGGAATTCAGCGTTTGCATGAGCCACTACTTTGCGATAAGTACATTTGTCATATTGGCCAGCTACTAGAGACTCACCTGGACGACATCAGAAGTTGGCAGATGCTGGTACCAATCCAACACAGTGCGCAAAATCATGAGTGAGGCAGCAGTAGTTATAGAGTTATTGAGTGATCAATATAGTAGTTCCAACATGTGCACGGTTGAAGTGATTGAAGTGATTGACTTGGAGCCTAAAGCGGCAGTGCAATCACCGAGTTACAAGTTCAACATATGAGCTAAGACTCAGCTTGTGCTTTACTCAAATCTAGCTATTACCCAGACCACCACGCAAGTTAGAACCCCCGCAGACATACTCTGAGTATCTATCAAGCATCGAGTCTGAGTATCTATCAAGCATTGAGTTGTAAATCTCCCAAAGTTAACATTGTGGCTAGCGGTGTTATTACAACTTAGTAAGTTACTCCATGCATTGCATCTGATGCCAACTGGAACATCTTTGCTTTCAGCCCAAACGACCAAGACTGGAACATGGGCACCCAAGACACCTGGTCCGGCAGTCAGTTTCTTGGCTCTGCGACTCCCAGAAATCAAAATATGTAACTGGTTTAGTTGGTACGTTTAAATTCCAGCCGCCATTTTTGGCCTCTAATCTGAACCTCGGTACTGTATCCGCCAATAGATCAAGCTGTAAAATCAATATACAAAATATGGAATCCTCAGGACGTCCCTTTTGTTTTTTGACATCATCTCATCCGGCTGTGGCTACCCCCTCCCCCAAACTCCATTCTTGCATCTCTTCCCAGCATTTCACTCCAAGGCGTAATACTTGACTTTCCTCTCCCATATCTCCAAATGATACAGCCACCCTCCCATGCCCGCCCCATACATCAATCTATGCGATCAAACAATCCTCAGGACGTCCCTTTCATTTTTCTGACATCATCTCATCCGGCTGTGGCTGCCCCTCCACCAACTCCATTCTTGTATCTCTTCCCAGCATTTCACTCCACTGGCATAATACTCAACTTTCCTCTCCCATATCTCCAATGATACAGCCATCTCCCATGCCCGCCCCATACATCCAATCTATATGCGATCAACACAATCCTCAGGACGTCCCTTTCGTTTTTCTGACATCATCTCATCTGGCTGTAGCTGCCCTTCCACCAACTCCATTCTTGATCTCTTCCCAGCATTTCACTCCACCAGCGTAATACTCAACTTTCCTCTCCCATATCTCCAATGATACAGCCATCTCCCATGCCCGCCCCATACATCAATCTATGTGATCAACAGACATTTTTGTTATTCACTGTGCGTACTGTAATCTTATCACTAAGACTACTCCTGACATCATTGTCTTGCATTAACCATAATGATGCATCGGTGATGCATCCGGTGACCCGCATCTGCGATCTCCGCACTGGAAATCAAATTTCTCAATGAGTGCATCATATCACTGTTTCAAGTCTAATCAAGTTTACTAGACGCTGCTACGTTATTCAGGGTGAGTGGTCCGCCATATCATTAATGGCGGTTCATAAGGCTAACTCAAAAATCACTGCAAATACCAGTCTCCCTTGCATTGACCACCACTAATATGACATTGATGTCAATGCTCGTGACCCAGGGTGAGTAGTTCACTTTATGAATGGAAGGTGCTTCCCAGGCTCATCCAAAAACTACAGCGCATTTGAGTCCCACTCCCAGGATATCTCTCAATGAACGATCCGCTGATCCTCTTTGGATCAGTATTACTACGACACCCTACATGACCGAACCAGAGGAGTCCGTGACTGTGCACGAGGGCAGTATAGAGTTTGAGGAGGCCGCGAATGCTATGGCGGACGAGTGCTTTTTATATTTATATGAAGGAATTTTCTACAACATGCCTGCCCAGCACAATCTAAAACCCCCTTTTTATTGTGTTACTCGGGGCCGCTACATCGGTGTTTTTCTGGCATATCTCCGGTGAGTTTTCACGTTCTCATTAATATTTTTTATACTTAACACCTACCATAGGAATAGTGTAAAAATCGAACTCTGGACACCAGGCAATTATGTTGCTACCGTCTTTGTGGTTCAGTCACTTGTTCTGGGAGAACAGGAGGTTCATTGTGCCATCAGACGTAGGCTCACAGCGAGCAGGTGACACACTAGTAGGTTTGATACTATACTTCGTTTGGTAGCATTTGCTGACATCTCGTTAGGATTAGAGTTATGGTTATGCGGGTGTTGCTCAGTCTACAGTTTGGACTAGTTAGTTATGGGATGATGTCATACTACGAGAATGCCAAGTACTAGTCATTTTGAGAACAATGCATTGACATGTTCGGGCAATAACCCTAACCCTAAATGTGCAACACTACGGTTTGGTCAATTGTGCTGTCGTGTTGGTAATCAACATTGCAACATTCAACGACGAATGTCTACAGATCCTCCTTGTGCCAGGGAATCTTCAATTCAGACTATTGTATGCACTCCGGCAACATCCGCAACACTGAAGAAGTTACAGAAACGAAAGAAGAAACCCAAGCTCAATTTTTACCGCTCAGCCACCTTGGTGCCACCTTCTCGCCAGCATACCCAATATGATGTTCATAAAGATGGGACCATTGGCTATACACTGAAGCATCTTCGACCTCCCAAGAACGCTAAAGCAACCATCAAGAATCTAACTCATACTGCACCGACTCTGCACGATGTGCCGTTTTCAATTCCTGAGCCATTCGATGATCTCCCGCCCGAAGTATCATTGGACTTTTTAGGTGAGGAAAGCAGAAACCGAGGAGCGGGTGTATGTACACTACATTATTCTTTGACTTTTTCCTTACCATGCTTACCATGATTATTTAGGATAATCCTTTGCTGATGTGGTTGAAGCACCGAGGAATATTCCTTCGTGAATTCATCCGTCTCGAAGGGAGATGTGGCCAAGCCAGCGCTCAGTCTTGCTTGGAATGTAATCGTCCCAGCCCGGAGTACCGGTGTGAAGACTGCTTAGGGTCAGAGCTTTATTGCACAACTTGCATCTTGTCGGCCCATGTGCGCCACCCACTTCACCGATTGCAGGTACGTTTTCATATTTGATTGGGAGAGTTGGACATGAAACTAATATAAGATATCGATGCAGAGGTGGAACGGTCAATACTTCGAGCAAACCTCACTGAAAACCCTGGGCCTTCACATCCAGCTTGGCCACACCACTGGCCAGAAATGTCTTAATCCTCAGCATGCATTTAACGACAATTTTGTCGTTGTCGACACCCGCAGTATCCATGAAGTGGCCCTTGACTTCTGCAATTGTGCAACAGCCGAAAGCCACATGCAGCAGCTGCTTAGAATATCCTGGTTTCCTTCAACAACATCAGATCCAAAAACGGCGCAACGTTCTCTGTTCTTGAGCAATACCACTTACTCTCTTTCGAGTCAAAAATATCTACATATGAGTTTTATCACGCGCTCAGGGATGTCCGATAACACTGGCCTACTTCCTGTCAAGGTAAATTCATATTTTCAAGTACCTTTGCAGTTACTCCAGCTGCCCTACAGGATCGATGAGTCGTTTTTGCGAATGATACGTGAGTGGCCACTTGAAGATGCTTAAGGTTCGGGGCGAGGTCACGAGGCTAGTGGTATAGATGGGACAGCTGAGGGTGAATGTGCCATATTGTGCCCAGCGTGCCCACACCCAGGGAAGAACCTTCCAGCGGATTGGAAAGATGCCCCTCGACAGTAAGTTTAGAGCGAGCTTCAGTCCAGAGTAGAATGATTGCTGATATAGGTACTGTTAGGTGGTTATACGGATTATTCCTCGCGATTGATGAATTTCGGTTAAAACGCAAGGCTGTCTCAAATGACAATGTTGACCCAAGCCTGAGTCGTGGCTGGGGTTATTTCGTGGAGGAAGATGCTTATAAAGGCTTCTTGCATGACAGTGCGGACAGCATCCAAGAGGTTAGTTAGTTTTATTTATTCTATTTGTATACTCACATCTATCTTTTGCAGAAATCAACGTGTTCAAGTCACGCTGCTGTAAACATGGCTGATACAAAATCTAACCGCGGACTCGCCGTTACTGGTTTAGGTACAATCGATTGTGCTCGCCACAACATGAAAAGGCCTAATGCAGTGGGGGATCTCCAAAAGGGTGAAAGGTAAGTCGTCATTTGCATTTCACGCAGTTGACAATCTAATGCGGGCACATAGATATATTAATATGGACTATCTATTCTCGACACTTCACCATACCGTACTCGACACTCTCAACGTATCCTATGATATCGCGTGCCAGTGGCACAAAAGATTATGGCACCGTATGAGTGCCTTTCCGTTTTCAATGCACCTCTCGCATACCGTCAAGACCGTCTCATTTTTTGTGCCCAAGTTCCACCTACCCGCTCATATGAGCAGTGCCAAACCTCCTTCTCGTTCAATTTCAAGAGCGGGGTAGGAAGGACCGACGGAGAAGCGCCAGAATGTGGCTGGGCTAATATTAACCCTGTCGCTTCAAGCACGAAAGAAATGGGTCCTGGTGCACGGCGAGACACCCTTGACGACTACTTCGGAGACTCGAACTGGAAAAAACTTGTTGGACTTGGTGCGTCTATTTTTGTCAAAATAATACATTAACTTACATTTTATCAGGTAGTACTATGCTTCGCAAGATGAAGGATGCATTGCCGGAGCGAGAGAACCATGTGAAGCATTCGAGGACCTTGATGATGGCTTGCGAGGCGAATACGGTGCCACCCTCGAACAGTGGAGAGAACAGGTGGAGGCTTGGGAGTGACGCTGCACAGCCCAATCCTTTCGAACGAAAGGCAGAAAGTAAGTACGAGTTTGTGATGGTAATACTTATGTGCTCATCTTAATCCTCCGTATATCACAGGTATCACTATGGCTTCTGTACGACTGGAGCTGGCTAGGGAGGACCAGATTGACCTTCAAACAGGGACTTACCTTGCCCTACACGAGGATTGCACTCCCAGTGTATTAATCAGCACTGGCTTAGAACTCGAGGAACAACAGTGAGTGTCCCAATCGTTGCTTATCGGACCTCGTTCTTACTTTGATAGACGGCGAATGAAAGCAGACAGAGCTGGCCTCGGAGTCCACGCGACGGACAATCAAGAAGGAAAGATGCTTCAGCGAAGCAACACTCTCAACGGAGGATTGATGCCTGGGGGAAAATGCAGGAACTATACATGCCGTTTCTCGCTGCACTACGTGCGAGCGAGGCCTCAGTATCTAACAATGTGGCCGCTGCACCAGAAGCCATCAAGTTGTGGCTGCCGTCCCATATTAGCAGGACCTCTCCTTGTGACACCCGTCTCCAAGCCATTGAATGGAAGCTGCGGTATGGGCAAGCTCATGACGCCCTCCGTTCTCTATGTTCGAACTTACGTGCTCTGACTGCGATCCTCAAGTATAAGGATCGGCACCTTCGTGGGCAAGGAGCGAACACGCGGGCATGGAATACATTGAAAGCCGTTGAAGCAAGGATCGAGGCCGCTGCCAGCACTTACGAGCATGCACGTAAATCCCTCGTTGTTCTTGCACCACGAGTGAATCAGACCCAGTCCGGGTGGCACTCGTCACTGCGGCCACTAGACCGAGCTGACATCCGCTCGATGACAGACATACTATGGGGAGAATCGGAGGGAACGAGAAAGCTGTCATGGATTTGGAGTATGCGGGGAGCGGCTCCCAACGAGATGGACAATGACAATACCTTGGAAGGTAGGCGGCTCTTCATTTTTGCTTCCTAGCCAGGCTCACAGTAGATCAGACATGCGAATAGAGTGGTGCAAAGCCCGGGCACGGGCGATGCGCTGGGCAGAAGAGGTGGAATTGTTGAAGGAGGAGATGCGAAGGATTCTGCAGTTTTTTGAGTGGGATGCGCAGCGCTGGGACGAGCGGGGCCTGGGAAACGCACTACAACTTGACGATGCAGATCAACACGAGGGACAGATGGCGTATGCCAAACGTCAAGCCGTTTTACGTCGAATGCTTGCCGAGTCTTTCAAGACCAGCTGGGCTGACACCCTGGCTCTGGTGGACACATTCGAAGACATGGACTTAAGCACATAAACCTTAGTTAGAATTTCGGTCACTCAATACATGTTAGCGAGAGTTGGTATCAAAATTGCATTGTTTGAACAACAAGTTATGGCGCAAAACAGCAACAGCAGGCACAAAAAAGAGCAAAGGCTCGAAATGGCAACAGCGGGCGCGAGACAATGGGCGCACAAAAGCGGGAGGAGGGCGGCATGCGGGCGCACAAAAGCAGGAGGGATGCGAGGAGGGCGGGATGCGAGAAGGCACCGAGGGCGGGTGGGATGCATGATGCATCACAGTGCATCAACCTGGAGGACTGATGCATTAGCAGACGGAGAAGGTGAGGGGATGCATCAGAACTTAACCTGGAGGACTGATGCATTAGCAGACGGAGGGGAGGATGCATCAGAAATCAACCTGGAGGACTGATGCATCAGAAAGCGGAGGGATGCATCAAAAGCGGAGGGGATGCATCAGAAAGCGGAGGGGATGCATCAGAAAGCGGAGGTGGGAGGGTGGTGGTACAATTGCACCAATGATGCATCACTGGAGTGCTACAGTTGCACTGTTTGATGCATCAATATGACACGAACCTGTCACGCCAGTGCCATCCTTTATGCAAAGAGCTGTAATCTCCGCCACAAATCGCGGGGAAACGATACGACTATGCTATCCGTGACGCCTAATCCCCACGAAGGCTAACAGGAAGCACCCTGAAGTAGTACCTTGTTCACCGGCTACACGGGTGTATCTGCTGACCCCGGTTAAACTGAAGTTCATTGCCGTCCAAATCTGAATTCGAACTGTAATTTCCACTTCGCTTCGCTCTGGTCCGGCTGGCACTATAAAGAGTGTGTCATGCAGGCGGTACTTTATCAGTTCGACTTTTACGGGGTTCCTTTAAAAAACGTTTGCAAGGGCGGACTCGGACTCTGTACTCAAGAATGCGCAACGCAATTTTCCCATTGCTGAACCTGGCCTTATTCAAAGATTTCAGTGGTGCCCTTAAACAGACCCCCATTGGCCCCACGGGTGACTTGGGATATGCGACATACCAAGGCAACCAGCGGTATCCAAACGCGGTTAACTCAGGAACCACGGTCGACTTGGGATATGTGACATACCAAGGCAAGCTGGACGAGGAATACCCAAACACGGTGGTATACTTTGGGATACCGTATGCCGAGCCCCCTGTAGGCGACCTGCGCTTCCGTCCAACTGTCCCTCTAAACACAGCACGTGTGACTAAAGAGGCCAACAGGAAGGTAGTCAGCGCGACCGAGCCCCCTAACTTTTGTATTCAAGGATCACTTCGTACGTGCGATTGCTGTCCTTGGATTTTCTCTGACTCCGTGGCCTAGCTGGGAAAGATGGAGGAGCAGGATCAGAGGACTGCTTAAATGTCAACATTTACACACCCTTGGACGCCACAGAAGGGCCAACTGTAGTTTTGGATGCCTGTCCTAGGTGTATCTTTGTTTTCTAATTTCTCACTATTGTAGTGCCTGTGATGTTCTTTATCCATGGCGGAGGTAATGTGGTGTTCTGAAGAATAACAGTACCTTTACTCATTTCGTTGTGACAGGTTTTGTTTTTGGAAACCCGCCCACCTGGCCATTTGATCATTGGATCGAACAAAGCCCAAATGTCATTATCGTGTCGGTTTATTACCGTCTTGCTTCTTTCGGCTTCCTGCCACCCCCTCCTGAGTTCGCCGACCAATTTGGCTATAATGCGGGACTCAAGGACCAGAGAGAGGCACTCAGATGGGTCCAGTCACACATCAGCAAATTCGGTGGCAACCCGAACGAGGTCACCATCGCCGGGCACAGCGCCGGTGCCATCTCCGTGGAACTACACATGACTGTCAAGGAGAGCCCGCCGCTTTTTGCTCGTGCTATTGCACAGAGCGTCGTCAGATCACCCTTCCCACCCTGAGCAACAGCAGGTATGTTGAGCGCACAGCCGGACTACCTGGATCAGCTCCCCACCTAACGCCCATTAACAGCCCCTCTTCGATTTATACGCAAGGGAAGCGGGTGCGATCTGCCTGATGCGCTAATGAAAATGTCATGTATCCGTAGGGCAAATGTCAGTATGCTTGCAGCAGCGCAGGATGTTGCATTCCAGCAATTGTCCTTGTGAGTTCTGCCCGCTCTACGCGAGGCATCTCCACAGCTGACGTGGTGGCAGGGAATACCGTACATTTGGCCCTGTTGTAGACAACGTGCTAATTACTGGACACCCTACGTCAAAGTTCCAGTGCGGTGACTTCACTCATGTTCCGCTTTTAGTTGGGTAGTTTGCACTCCAGTCATTTCGGTGCTGTGCTCTCGCTGATGTCAACGTGAATAGTGCAACATCGACGAAGTCTTATTCCCAAGATGTTTGGGGACATCTCTGTGGCACTTAAGGTATTACCCATTGTTGACAGACACAGACATCC